CGAGAAATAGTAGGTTCCATTTAAGAAATTGAAGGTAACCTTCATGTGACCTTCAAATTACTCTTCAAGGTCAAACCTATGGTACCATCTTATGTCCCCCTCGAAACCATACAACTTTTGTCTGAAACATTTTTTCATATCTCTTTTAGTTTTTTAAAAAATCGACTGTATAAATTAAAATGGCCCACCCTGTATATATGAAGTGACTCGGGAAGACATCCCCAACAACATATTTAAAAATAAAGCAAATCGGAGAGGAGGCCCCTTTTATGCATAATTACCAAGATTTTTACTATAGAATATTTTAATGGAAAACTATGTGCATTTAATTATGGATATACCGAGAAGAAAAATAAACCCACGCCAAATTTTACTAAAAATATGCTTATTAAAAAAGAGCATACTTTGAGTCAGAAGGGAATGCAAATGTGGCTACTGTTAAGAGCGTTACCTTTTGTCTGAAAAAATCCCTGATGGAAACGTGTATATGGAGCTTATAATACTGTTATTGAGGATTATGGAGTTAATTTTTGCACCAAAAATTTGTCCTTCTTTGATTCCATATTTAAGAGTATTAGTTAAAGACTTTTTTGAAGTCTTTAAAAGATTATTTCCTGACATAAATGCAATTAATAAATTTCATCATTTAGATCATTATGCTGATTGCATTACCTGGTCAGGGCCATTATTTCATTTTTGGTGTATGCGTTTCGAATCCAAGCATGGCGAAATAAAATTGCGTGCTCAAAATGTTCACAATTTTAGAAATTCCCCTAAAACTTTGATAAGAATCTCTCAATGCAATCAAATTATGAAATGGGGTACGGATGATGTAAAAACAGACAAAATAAATATCCTTGATGGAAAGACAAAATCTGTGAGAAGCACACTAAGCAGATTTGATTTGCACAATTTAAGTTATGACGATGTAGATGAGGTTTTTTGTTGTACAAATATTATAATAAATGGTTCCGAATTCAGGAAAAATTTATATGTATGTCTTCAAGTTTCGCACATGGCACCGAAGAACTTAGCAATTTTTGGAATTATAAAAGAAATAATTATCATGGAAAACAAAGTATTTTTAAAAATTGAGATTTCTTTGACACTCGGTTTTGATACAAGTCTAAATGCATACTATATCACTGAAGTTGATGATAATAATGATTCCAGTCGTTTTGTCAATGTATTTGATCTTGGCTATTTCAAGCCTTTATCTTGTTGGACAATACCAAATTCAGATTACAAATTTATTAGTCTACGTCATATTCTCTTATGACGGTTTTTTAAAGGTGATTGGTTTTATTTATACTATTGATTTATACTATTGCTTTTTAAATAATCTCATTAATGTTACAATACACTAATTTGATTATTTTTGAATTTATTTCTTTACCAGAGAAAAAGAAAGTGTTAAACATGATATGTGTGTTGTATTTATCTTTTATATTTAAAAAAAATCTTTTAATATCAATCGTTTTCAGATGAGGGAATTGATGGGCGATCTTTTTCAGATCTAACTGAAAAAGATTTGTCTGAACTAAAAATTAAAATGGGTCCCCGTAAAATCATTCTAAAAATGATACAAAAATTGAAACAGAGTCGTTCGGTAAGATATAATCATAATATAAAATATTGTAATCTGTTATAAAAATAATTCGTAAACGTTTATAGGAAGAAGTCAAGAACTTTTATGTCACTGCTGATGGATCAATTGCATTACAACCTAGTAATGATTTGATTACTTGTGACTCGGATGGCTCGTATGACTTCAATTTAAGTACACTGTATGAATGTACAACTGACAAAACTGACAAAAAGTCGTTTGACAATACCCCTACAGTTAACATAATCAATACATGTAATACAACTGATAGTCAATCGTCTGGCAATACCTCTACAGTTCGAAATACACAGGATTCGTCTACTGCTGTTTCACCGAATACAGAAAACATATCAAAATATCAATTTTCGGTGTGTATTTTATTTATGTATTTTACCCAAAAAATTTTCTTTTTAGCCAAATTTTGTTATAACAATTATTATTTTAGCGTTATTTGAGTGTGGAAAATACACTTCTGCATCATCCAAACGGTAAGGAGTTACTCAATAATATTAAAAATACAGATTATCCATTTGGTGAAGCAGACAGAAGGAGTTTGGTTCGTATAGTCATAAACGAACTCAAGACATTACATGATACACTGTAAGAAATATTGCAGATAATTTTATCAAATAATTATTCTATATTTCTATTATACACATTCTATTATAAATATTTCCATATTCTTTCTATTATAAATATTTCATTCTATTATAAATATTTCCATTTCTAGTTATCCACCAGAAGAAGCTAAAATTGCATTAGCAAGTGCAATAGTCACTGAATTTCCACGCTTAACAGCTAATAGAGAAAATAATAATAAACAAAAAGGATATGTAAGGATTATTTACATTATTATGTATAAATTTATTACACATAAAAAGTGAAAAAATTATAATACTTAAAAATTATATACATTATATAGGAACATTACTACAGTCCATTGACCAAGCAAGGTTTTTTAGAATATAGATTATGGACTATTCGCAAATCAGCTACTCCATCAAAGAAAAAATACAATAAAAGTTGCATTTCAACTAATTCACAAGGAGAAATAAGTAAACGCCAATTGAATTTTAATATAGCTTCTACCCAATTATTACCAGAACAACTATTAGAAGAAAAGGTACGTCGAGAATCATTTGTATAAAATAATTATTTGCTATATAATGTGCAATATAAATATTTGTTATATAAATTATATTGTTATAGAAATCTTGAAACACCCTGACAATCTGAATCGCGACAAAGGCTATCAGGTGAGCCCGATATGGCACACCGCCCTCCCGGTTTTTTAAAAAAACCGTCAGCCGGGATTGGCTGACTCCCCTCCCTCTGACCACGCCCCCCCTGACTACCCCCTCCCTTCCCCCCAAGAACGAGTATAAAAGGACGAGCGCAACGCGAGGGAGCTCTGTATCAGAGTCTCCCAGCCCTGATGAAGCAGACTGCAACGCCTGCGAAACGTCGGCACCACACTGCAAACGGACGCGGCAACCATCCGGAAGCCATGAAGACTAAAGAAGACAACAGCCGCGAAAGCCTGAAAGCCAAGATGCAATATAAATATTTGTTATACAGGGTGATTCAAAATAGGTATAGTGTCCCTGAAATGTCGTATTCCTGATTAAATTCTAAGACGATTTTTCTCTTACCAAAATGTTCTCCGAAGCTTAGTTTTTGAATTATTCAAAGAAATAGTCAGCGAATAACTGCATACAAGAGGCAGACAGGAGCGGCGCACCGCCGCGGCGCCCGGCGGCTCACGCGGGGCGGTCAGCTGAGCGATCATTTGCAGCGTTGCACACGTACATCTCTCTCTCTCTCTCTCTCTCTCGCTCTCGCTCTCGCTCTCGCTCTCGCTCTCGCTCTCGCTCTCGCTCTCGCTCTCGCTCTCGCTCTCTCTCTCGCTCTCTCTCGCTCTCTCTCTCGCTCTCTCTCTCGCTCTCTCTCTCTCTCTCGCTCTCTCTCTCTCTCGCTCTCT